CTAAAAGGGATGTTTAGATGACGTTTAAAACGGTTGTCCATAGCCGAGGAAGGAAATTAAAGAAAAAACATTCAAATAAAGTAAACATCGCATTAATCTGCACTAAGACCTCTCTGATATTTAAATAGAAATCTCTATTTTATCATACCTATTTATCTATCTACTAACTGACATCACACATAACAGATATATAGATACATCTCTCTCAATAGAAAAAGCTAATTAAGGTCTCATTACATATTTACATCTCACCACAGAACCAGCCTGCACTCACCTTCAAAAACACTAATTATAAGTCTGGAGTTTTCTATCCTGTTAACACACAGAGGATCCCATCTGACATGAGAACTCGATGCCTGAGGCTACTGCTTTTAGAGCGGAGACATGAAACCCGCTGATGACAAAATTTAGATTTCATGTCACATCTGAAGAGGTGTTTCATTACTGATGTGAGTTAAGGAACAAAGTATCAGTGATAAACATGTCACATAATCCTAACATCCTGCTTTCATCCTGCTGGCTGGCTGAGCTAACAGACTACGACCGGCTAAAGAAGGCAGAAAAAAGGCCTGGTTATCCTGGCAGTGAGCTTGTCGCAGATATTTTTGATTTATGCTCAATATTGAAGCGTGGTCTGCGCTATGTTATTCCACGCCACAACGCAGGAGGGCCAATCAGGAACTAGCTGTGGGTTTTGATACGGCCGAGGCGGTGAGGAAGTGGGGGTAAGTTTGTGCGACAACGGAGGGACATGAGGGCCAAAAAGAGCGGGGATCCAGGTGGAAAATGGTTCCCAGCGTTCTCGTGCACCTTGCTCTTCTGGTCCATCTTCACCAGTTGTTTTCCACAATGGCGGTTATAAAAACAAAACAAGGTACCAAACAGGAAATACGCATAGAGTAGAGCGGAGGCCTCCTGTCTGCAGTCATCTACAATTTTGGAGAGGTGCGGCAGAGTGTCTGTGAAAGGGGGCGGGGCATAGCTGCTGCTGCTGCTGCTACTTTTAGACACAGCAGGCAAACCTGTGGCAAGC